GGTTTGGGTCTGGGTTTGGGGTCTTCATTTTCACCTGAAGGTTGCATGGAATCCTGTCTGTGTTTCGTATCAGTATCACGTATCAGTCACATGGAGGCAGGGCTTAAAAGCCTGAATTTTGCCTGAAACTCTCAGACTGAAGAAGTCTCTTGGAGGAGAGACGAAACGTTTCATTAGAGAAGAAACCGTCCAGAAGACCTATACAATTTTTTTCTTTTTGATTTTTTTACCTGGATTACTGAGATGCATCAGGACAAAAAAAAGCTTATTTTTATGTTTTTTATGTTTTTTGTGACAATCAAAAAAAAGAAAGATTATTTTTTCTTCACATTTGTCATCATTTTTTCCTTTTTAATTGCTGTCTACTCTTGCAGTCACACAACGTCTGGTAATAAGCTGCAGATGCGGCTCGCAGCGGAGGCATCACCTGCAGCAGATCCTGCCTGTCCTCCTCTCTCAGCACAGGCACCGTGTCGAGAATCAGCTGCATCTGCTCCAGCTCATGAGCTCCTGGGAGAAACAAGCAGCCAATCAGAGACCAGACAAGAGGAGACAAAGGGTTGGTTACATAATCGAAATGAAAATACAAGAAGCAAGTATCACTGGAAGGTTTAAGATGTCAAGAAATAGAAGTATAAAGTTAAAAGAGTCTTTTATCAAAGTCCAGACAATCTGGAGTTCTCTCGAGTCCACTGCTCTATTCTGCTTATATCACTGTAAAGCACAGTCATAAATTGAGTTACCCCTCTCAAACTATCAAACGTAACCCCCTAGCTGCAGTCTGACAAGCTTGAACCCCACTAAGAGGATTTTGTTACAAATATACAAGCTGCAAAAAAATGATGCTGTCATGTTCACCACCAAGAACAAAAATCCAGAGTTCCTGTTATTTCTTTCCGCTAAAACAGAGTAAACATGTTTGTCACATGCCCAGATTGTGGAAGTTTCCACCTGATGAAGAGCAGCATTTTTTCCACTTGTGTAAGTTTCCATTGAAAATGTTTTTGAAGGCAACAGCAGGTGGTGCTGTATCCCCACTTCGCCCACTCTGAGGAATAAGCAAGCAGTGTAGCTTGGCTCTAAGTCCCACTGGTAAACAACAAAACATAGAGTGAGCTGTCTCCTTTCTTTGTCAAGCGAAAGGTGAGGAAAACACACTTCAACACATGATGCATAAAAGTCTCATCAGGGAGAAGATGCACCCTCTGTGTTTGTGATGGGGATGGGGCTACTGGAGGTCAAAGTCAGTATGTCAGATGAACTACATTTCCTTTAGACAAGAGAGTATCTCTCAATCATCATTATTATTCTGGTCAGGCTATGAAGTAGACTGCAGGAAGATAAAGTGTCTTTGGTGGAGGACACTGGGGAAAGAATAAGTCTCCTCTATGATGCAGTTTTTATCTGAAAGTACATTAGGAAATTACAAATTTATTTAGCTGTGTATTTATACATCTGTTCCAATAGGAATTTTTCCTCATCAGTAAAGTGAACACAGAGTGGTTTCATTAAGATTAAACAAGACAGGAAAAGTACCTGCAAACAGCATCCGTCCGGTCAGCATCTCAGCTAATATGCAGCCAGCCGCCCACATGTCTATTGCCTTGGTGTAATTATTGGGGGAAAGGAGCAGACGGGGGGAACGATACCACTTTGTTACCAAACCTTCAGACAGGTAGCCCTGGAGAGGAGAGTCAGTTGGATAAACACAAACAAAACAAGTTCAAATTTGAGTGATGAGAAACAGGATACATGTAGTTAAAACTGTGATGAGCTGGCAACCGATTCCATCCATCCATCCATCCATCCATCCATCCATCCAT